CACTAGCCTTACGCGCACGCAAATATAAAATCAAGTACTTTTGGCTATTTATTCCCCATTAATTTGAGGTCAGAATGCCATCAATATGATGGATGATGCATATAGAAAGACTGAAGACGATCTAGGGGAACTAGACGAGGTAATCGTTACTTATAAGAACAACCTGGCCATGTTTTTCATAAATAATAAAACTGTTGCATACATGACAGGAGATGCACATCCCAATCAAGATATGTTGGACCTGTTTGATTTGATAGAAAAATGTGCTAGTCAAATTCGACTTGTTCCTAAACAACAGCGCATCCAAAGGAAAGGCCCTAAAGATAAAAAAATAAATTTGATTGATACCTCATCTAAAGATAAGAATAAAGATTTTAGAGATAGAAAAATTTTGATGACTGTGAAAAAAGATTGATTAAATGCGTGAACAAAAATTCCTCCGTGGACTTGAGAGCAGAGGGAGAAGGGTGCGCTTCGAGTAAAAATAACCAAAACAAGATAGTCCTGGATAAAGTTGTATGCGCTAAGGCACTCACTGGAAATTTGCTGTCACTTCGCCGTTTTGCTGAAAGGGGCATGAGTATATACCTCGAAAACACAAAGCTAGATATATTTGATCCACGTTCTAATGAGACTATAATTTCTGGTGTCTACAAGAGCCCCTACTGGATAGTAAAACTACTGCAAGATGGCCAGAGCACAAGCAATAATAAGAAGTGCAAAGAAATTATAGACTGTTGAATGGTAGAAAATCTCCCAAAAGCAAAGACCAAGAAGATTCAACAAGTCAGCACTAATGATAGGAGCTGCCCTGAAATCTCAAACAATGAATCGGAAAGAGCTAGTCTACACAGCTCTCATCAAAGTGAGTTTAAGAAAACTGTTAAAGATAGAAAAATCAATAATTGTTATGACCTTATAATTGGTGAGATTCCTGAAGCTCAAAGCCCGTTTACAGAGAAGTACAGGAGGTTTGAAAGAAATAACAGAGCCATGCTTTGGCATGTAAGATTCGGACATGCCTCAGCAGAATATCAATAAAGATTTGAACAAGGCCGTCTTCGACAGCTTCATTACAACATACGAGGTGTGCCAAGTTGCTAAAATCAAGACATTGCCTTTCAGTACTAGAAAAGATAGGGCAACCAAACCACTTGAGATAGTTCATGCAGATACAATAGGACCGATCAGTTCAGCCACTTATCCTGAAGGATAAAAATTTATAATCGTTTACACGGATGACTACTTAAGATTGACTATGGCACACCCAGTGAAAACAAATTGTGAAGCAAGACGTTGTTTGGACAATTTTGTGACAAGCGCACGAAACCTGCTAGGTTTTGATGCAAAGATATGCTATCTTCGAACCGATCAAGACACGGAGGTTATAGGAGGCTAAACGGTAGAAGTTCTCCAGAGGTTGGGAGCAGAACTTCAGTTGGCCTGTCCAGACACCCCTTACTACAATGGAGTCTCAGAATGAATTAATCGTACCTTACAAAACAAGGTGCGAGCCTATATGTACCACTCCGGGCTCAGGGAGAACATGTGGGATGTAGCCCTGGACAGTGCAGTATATGCCTACAATCGAACACCTCACCGGTCTAACGATATGATAGCCCCTTTGGAAAAGTTTGTGCCCAATCTGAAAATAGACATAACCCAAATCAGAAGATTTGGCTGCGTCGCTTTTGTCAAGATACACAGGAACACTGGAACCAAATTTAATCCACAAGGGATACGAGTTGTGCTGGTTGGTTATACCACCACTGGCTACTCTTTCGTAAGACCTGCAGATGGAAAATTCTATGAAAGTCAAGATGTAAGATTCCAAGAAAGACTCGTATTCAGAGATATCTGGGGAAAAGACAAAATAGCAAACTGGGGGAACCACAAGACAGATATTAAACAAGATGAATGGTTCATTGAGTTTGATAAGACTAGCCCTAAAGAGTCATTGGAAACGGAGGGAGAACTGGTAGTCAAGAGAATGCGTGGTCGGCCCAAGAAAGTTAGAGAGCTTGGTCAAGAAAATCCTAAGCAACCCATTAGAGTAGATGATACGAGCTTTGCAAGATCCATCGACACAAACAAGTTGGATTAACTGCTTTAATTAAAAAGCAATGTTGACTGTTTGATCGAGGAAGTCGAAGATGAAATGACACATGCCCTGATTGCTGGACTAAACAAAGATCCTGCAAAATACAAAGAAGCTGTTGCATCTCTGGAGTGCGAAAATGGCTCATAGTAATTGACGATTAACCGAAATTTATGCGGAAAAACCAAGTGTAAAAACTTGTAGAAAGACCAGCCATAAACGCTGAAGGAGGCAAGTCAAATATCATCGACTCTAGATGGGTTTTAAAGAGATGAATAGACAAAGATGGAAGCACGAAGTTTAAAGCGAGGTTGGTGATTCGAGGTTTCAAACCATGTTATACACCAGTACGATCTGCAAGAAACCTACACCCAGGTGTCTTAGCTAGCTCTTGTAAGATCAGTAATATCAATAATTAATAGATATAATCTGGAGACTTGCTAACTTGATGTCAAGACAGGCTCTCTAGAGTTCCGCGAATCTCTAAACAAGGAAATATTTATAAAGGAAACCTTAGTCATGCAATCTTAAGTAAGCTGTCTTGTTCCATCTTAAGGCAAGACACAAATCTTTTCAGGAGAATGGTAAACGAGCATGAGTTAAAGACAACAACACTTCACGTAAATACCGAGTCTTTAAAGCAATATATATTTTTAGTACTTACTGCTGCTCACTCTCTTCTTAATGCTGTCCTTTCTCATTGCTCCGCCCAAGGCTTCGAAAGTTGGGCCATCGTTTACATCTTGAGGTGATTCAGCTGCTGCATCTCTATTCTGACTCTGCTCTGCCACCTCTTGGGGCTGACCCTCCCCTTTTTCGGAGGAAGTCAGGGTAAGAGGACTGCCAAGCTCTTCTGTCTAACAGTGCTCGCCACCCAACACAGAGCTCCTGGTTGCTTCCACTATTACGTTATTACGTAAAAGTAACAAAAAGAAAGCACACAGGGAACGCGTAATAATCTCAAGTGCGGAGCGGAAAGAAGAAGAAAGAGAGAGAAACAAGACGCGATTGAGAAAATTCCACACCCACACTACAATGAAGGGCCCATAACCTGTTAGCAGTATGGGTTTATTAGTAGGAGATTTGGCAAATAAAAGTACATTACTCGTAATTTATAATTAAACACAGGCACGTTTATTGTCACTATCTTTAGTCTTATTTATCATTAACACTTCACTATCTTAAGTACAGTAGCTAAACAAACAGACAAGGTAGGATCAAATATAAAGGTTATACGAAGACAGAGAGCGCATGTACAAACAGACTGACTGACCGCCTGAGAGTAAAAAAACTGTATATATTTGACGCTGAAGTGCAGCGTCACAGTGTCTTGTCTTCTTGCTGTTGCGAATGCGTGATAATGCAGTTATGAGCGCCAACAATACATCCAACACTTTGAAACCGAAGAAAATAAAGGAATTTATTTCATCAAAGTTGTGTGCAGAGTATGAATAAGTATATAAGGTGTCAATGGATTAGACTATGCGCAAAAATACTTTTTAGTTACGGAATATTTTTTATCTAGACTGCTTTTGCTTAAGTTTTTCGTCTGAGTTTTTTACCATAAGTGATACTTTTATTGATCTTGCTATTAAGTTACTTATATCATACATATTTTTTACCTCACGAAATATTTTCATAAGTATGTTTACTTGTAATAGACATCATTTAAGGGATTTTGAGTATAGATAACTGTGGTGCTTCATATTGCTACGGTTTTGTCTACTCATATACACACGATCTAGAAAAAACATAATAATATTATATTTTTCTATAAAAGGTTCAAAAACTTACTATCTAACTTTCGTTGTTAGTTCTGATTTCTATGAGATGGTTTACGAGTATGTGTTAAGAAGACTAATTGCTACGGAGACGTCTAGATTTTCTATCAGGTACCGTAATGGAAAACATTTTAACCAACTAATTAGAAATAATGAAGCTAAAAAAGTTTCTAGAACTAAAGCGTCGTATATTAATCTGAAAAATTCAGAATAATACAGTATTCAAGGTTTCCGACGACCGAATGCTACTTTTCTTTAATTTTGGAATTAACTTAAAAGTAACTCGGAAATATGTTAAGAACTCTGTGGTAAACAAGCGGCAGATTTTCAAGAATATTATTCGTAAAAGTAATTTTTCTTTTTAGTTACCCATATCTGTATTGACAGACAAAGATAATCATGAATCAAGGCAAAATAGTAACAAAAAAATTAATGGCAAGCACATGCTTGTGTGTTTTTCATCTCCTATATTTGACAATTGAGAAAAACTTAGTATTATTGTTATTTAGTATTTTTCACCCAAAAAACTTAATCACAGTTGAGTCTATGTATTTATTATTTTACCTAATAATGTAATAAACCAATGTAGAATAAGATCTTCAGCATTCATTGTAAAGGTGAAACTAAAAATTAATGGTAAATCTTTTTTAGTGAAAAATAAGTTTTAAAGCTTTTTCAGAATTCTTAAGTTTTTAAACTCACTTTCATCACTATCTTTTTTTATTGCTATTTCATCATTTAATCACTAACCATAAAATAGAAATTTTAATTAGTTATAATTTTTTTTAACACAAAAAAAATTTACATTTAATAATTAGATGTAATAAGAAAATATAAAAAAACCATGCATCAGCAGTAACCTACTATCAGGTCATTTGGTCAGGCCGAAGTAAAGAGTGTAGTGCTTCGACCATTAGCGATCATGTCTGGATTATTCAAGGTTTTATATTTAGGTTGTAAAATGTGAATGGGGCTTAGGATAAAATGTAGTTAAGATATTTTTTCACTCGGGTTTGTTGAATATTGAAAAAAGTAATAGTCCACTATGCACTGCCAAAAATCTGGGAATCTTGGGTATGATATGCTTATGGGTAAATGAGAATTGTAGAAAATGACCTTACCTTCATGCTGCTCTCCAGTTGGTGGATCAAGCATATAACCATAAACAAGCAAAGTTCGGACAGTTTCACTGGCAGTATCTCTATTTGCTTTTTTTATAGCTTCATCCACTTTTTGGTAGGGTACTAAATGTGGGCTTCGCCTCATTTGTAAATCTTCATTCAATCCATAAGTCCAACCCTGACTAATTCTCTCTTTAGCCCATAGGTTATGTGTATTTTCAGCTAATTGATCTACTAGTTCTTCCATTTTTGGAGTGAGCGTTATCGCACTTAGATCAAGTGGAGCTGGTCTATATCCAGTACTTTGAGTAAACTTGTCCTGTGGCAACCTGAGAGTTTTGATCCTAGATGGTGGCTTATCCATAGATATATAATATCCTAAGGCCAGAATAGTCTTGAGGGTTTGCACAGCAAGTTGAGTATCGTAACGTTTTTCAGCTAATGGTAGCTTATCAAAAGGTACGATGCAAGGGTGTATTTTTTGAAGATCATCTCTAATTTCTCCATAAACCCAACCAGCATCAATTTTGTTCATAGCCCACATTTCATGAATATTTTCTGCCAATTTATCTCTAATTTGTTCAATATACTGTTGTAAATTAACCATAGATGTATCAACAGGACCTGGAACAAAAGCTGTATCATCTTCCATTAACCAAGGACCCGCTAATACCATTTTGTTCATGTTTCCAAAATAAAAACAAGGATCAAGCGACAAGATTTGTTGTGGCAGGAGACTTTCCACTAAAGGAGAAAACTCATCTGGTGGTTGATACTTTAGCCTTCCATGATCTCCACCTAAGAGAAATCTACATGACAGTTTTGAAGAACAACTAATTACTGGAAAAAACATGCCATCTAGATTGAAATCTCGAAAGTTGCCTGTGCATGGTACGCCATTAAAAGTAAAGTTGATGATTGGAACTGTTAAATCGAGGGAGCAACCAATAACGTCACTCTTACGAATAAAAGGTTCAATTTTATTTTGCATAGTTAAAGTCTTTCTACCTCCTGTCCATAAAAAAGCTCCATCAAAGCCACACGAATAAAGGTCATCGCCTACACCATTACCACCCCACTTTTCCCCTCCTCCTGGATATGGCATGTACCTAATAAGTAATTTTATTACTTTACTGTCGACTATTGTCGTTGTTTATATTATTTACTAATTTTCAAAGAAAAAGTTTGTTTATTACCCTGCTGTGTTCGCCCAACCAATTCTTAAATGAGGCATCATATGAGTCGTTTGTTCGATATGATCAACTGTTACTTCAAAGTACCATTTTTGATACAGAGAAGATCCTTCAACTCGACCAACAAATATATTAGGTCTTACACTTGCCACATGGTCTACTAATTGAGTTTGAAGCAGTAAATTTTTTCCAGGTAATAAAAAATCGCAAATATTATTCTGAGACGAACGAACTGCTACACCATTACCAACGCAAAGTGAACATAGTACATCCAATACTTTTGGATCCCTACCATGTTTTTCTAATAAAGAAATAATGACTTTTATATGCTCGTCCTGGAAAAAATTTAAAAATTATCATGATTTTTAAAGTAAACAGAACAAGCTTAGGAAAAAAATTTCAATAAAAGTCTATCAAATGTGACAATATTACAATCCGTACAACATTTATATATTAAATAAATTGTAAGTTACATTTGTAGTCTTACCCTCATCATGTTTAAGGCTTCTGGTGAGTCAATAAGCACACAATGAAGTACGTCTAGCATTCCAGTACCTTCACCAGATGCTTGGGAACCAAGTCTACTAAAAAGCCAATTGAGCCGGTTGGTGTTGGCAAACTGAGCACAATTTGTGTGATTTCCTTTGATAATTGCTGCAAGCAACTGATAAAGGTATCCAGAGATCTGATCCCAAGCTTGACAACTCTCATCACCTAATAGTGCTACGAGAAAGCCTTGTGACGTTATTACATTAATTTTGTCAATAGCCTCAAGAATCAGATTCAATATACCCTCTTCTTGGAATAGATCTTGTCGGTTCCGTAAAGCACGGAAGCGATTTTGCCTTTCTTCGTGTTCTAACAATAAGAAAATTTTAGTATAATTAATGAAGTAAAACAGTTTTGGATGGGATAAAAAATTTTTGATTGACATTAGTTTAAAATAAAACAAGATTGAAAAGTGTGAGTGCCTGAATGAGTGATAACTTACAAAAGCTTTTAATAAGCAACATATAGTAGAAAGCTTTTTGCAAAAATCAAGAATCATAATATTTACCCATGTCATCTTCAGGCTGCGCAAAATAATTTATAAGGTCCTCAAGGCACATCACCATTTCATTCAGATTAACAGACTTGAAGAATATGGATGCTCTTCTATCAATTTGCAAGGTTTCTAGTCCTCTAAAAGAGTGTTAGTTATTTTTAAACTGATTTCATAAAATATTTTCGATATGTGTATCTCATTATATACAGCTAACTTATCTTCTTATTACCTAAAGCTTACGTAATACTTTGAGGATAGTTTAGATTATAAAGTGATTTTAACACTCTCAACAATCTAAGACAAGTTCTATTGGCTGTTATATCAGATAATTTTTTAAAAACATTTCAAAAATTCTATTGGTGCAGTCTTAGATTGTTATAAATAAATGTTATATCTTACTGTAGAGCTAATTAAAGAATAAAAAACTGTGCATGTACAGTAAACATTACAGAAGAGATCAAGCAAATCCAAAGTTCAAGTAATGTAATTAACGGTGGCTAAGGGTCAAAAAGTGAAAGCGTCGTATCCTAGTTTTATTGACCCTACAAAAAACTTTTTTTTAAATGTTATAAAAAATTAACGCAGTTAAATACCAGAAATAACAACTTAAACAAATAATGTACGATATTAAGTTCCTTTTTTCTTTTAAATAATGTTTTCGGTTATATATTAAAAAACCTATACTTTTTGAAGATTAAAGACAATACTAGTATCTACTAATATCAAAAATGCAGTTCTTCATTCGTCGTGTTTTGATAATTGTGTAAGGAATCAATATTGTAAGTTAATATTTTGCAATAGGTTGCCATTGTAACATTTTACGATCGGACTTAGCGTTTAATATGCAATACACGTATGTTTACAACATATCTCATGTTTATTATTTCCTAAAAATTCTCGTTCTTATTATTATCATTTTTTTTAATTTGAAACACTTATTAACGTTTTCAAGAATATTACTGTGCCCAAAAGCTCTGTCACCCTGACTGAGTAGATATGATACTTTTAGTAATGATCCAAGAGTGATATCAGAAGATAGTTTGGATAATAAGAGAGCAATCTACTCTTAATAGGTCCTCAGACTTAATTTTATGCCCGTGGTGGTCACTTAAAATTGTTAAGTCTACTGTAAATTGTAAAATTGTTGTACTATTGATTTATCCAACAAGACTTTTTTTAGAAAAAATTCGTATGAAATACATTTTTATGTTAAGATTTCTTAGTTATTTGAAAAAAATAGATTTGGAAGCCAAAAATGCTGTTACGTAACCTAGAAATGCGTTATTTAAGAAAAATTGAAATTTTCTGCATTTCCCAACTTTCATTAGGTGAAATGGACCTGACCAATCAATGCCTCTTTAAATTTGACGTAAAAATTGGTCATAAGCTAAATAGCTCAATTTTACAAGGAATCAAATAAAAAATTAGGCATCTTCGTTTTAACGTAAAAACTATTTTATCATTAATGAACATAAACAGATGTGACAGACCATTTTCCACTGCATCAAAACTAAATGAAATTTGAGAGATTGTCCAAAAAAAACTTAAATTTTACTTTAGCGTTAATCCTGTTATTGAATTCAATAAATTAATTAATGATTACAACGCTATTATTGTTAATTTCAAATATGTAACTACTGTAATACCAGATGAACACACAAGTCTTAGTAATTTACATAAAACTAAGTTTTTTACTTAAACATATTTTTTACTATGTGACGTTGAATATTGTTTAGTATATATAAACCTGCATACTTTTCCTTATTACTAACTAGTGGCCCCCCGTCTCGACTTTGCTCGAGACTCGCTGAGTGGAACCCATGATGTGAAATGACACATAATATAGAACCTTTTCAGTAAAAAACTTTACATATATTTTTGACATTTTTTTAAACAATAAAGTTTTTAGTGAATGTACTGTAAAAATGGAAAAAAATGTAATAATACGGAAAAGTACCGTGCATTTCTAACGCCATAAAATAGGTATTTGCCCTAAAAAAGACCGTTGACCGTATTTTAACGTGTATTTATTCACGTTATATAATATAAAAAAGGTTACTGGTTAAAGCTGAAAAGATAAAAATATAATTTAGAATTATTTAATCAACCACAAAATTTCAGTTTATATAACATTTGAAGTTAGATTTCCAGAAGGTATTAAAACAATCTGATGATGTGGATCACCTGTTCTTTAAAGCCCGACATACAAATGTCCATGTGAAAAGCAGTTTGATCTTAAATGTACACCCACGAAATTATAAGTCTGTCCTTGCAACTTGTTCATTGTCATGGCAAATGAAACTTTGAGAGAAAACTGTAAGCGCTTAATCTGAAAAGGTAAATCAGTTGGTATCATCCGAATTCCTGGAATAAAAGCTATTTGTCCTTATGCTAGACCTGTCAAAACAGTAGCTTCTACAACATCATTTCGCAGAGTTTTAATTTGCAGTCTTGTTCCATTACACAGGTTCAGTGATTGAAGATTACGTAGAAGCATAATCGGAGCTCCAACTTTCAAACTTAACTTATGGGGTAGAAATCTTAATCGAGTTAGGGAGTTGAAGAATTCCTGAGGATAATTAACATAATCTTTTGTTGCAATGACTGTGTTACGTCGGTGCGACATACACTTCGAGTTTAAGCTTTCGCTTAATAACTCGGAAAACACGCTCAGCAGGTAAATAAGACACGGAGTTAAAGGGGTAGTTCTAACTAACAACATGGTATTTGCAAAGGGGCTACGACTGTTTCACCCGACTAGAACCGACTGCTGTGCAATATTCAGATATACTGGCTCGCGGCTCGTCTAAGATTGGTTGACTTTACCCGGAGCGGCATTCCGAAGGGTATCCCGTCCGTGATCTAGATGATACCAGAACCATTACGGAAAAAAGCATCGTTTCTAGAGGTCACGTAGTGGTAAATAGTAATTTGACTCGCAACCTGACTCGGATGTACTAATACCGTCTCGAGTACTGATTTTCGCTTTAATCTGATTAGTTATTGCACCGATGGTACCACTACCGTGGCCGATAACGGTATGCGCGTAAAACAAACTTAATAATTCTCGATGATCCACGGGTACCAGTACCGTGGCAGATAGTGATGTGCGCGTAAAACAAACTTCATAATTCTCAATGATCCACGGGTACCAATACCGTGGCAGATAATGGTGTGCACGTAAAACAAGCTTAATAATTTCGGATGATCCACAGGTACCAATACCGTGGCGGATAATGGTGTACGCGTAAAACAAACTTAGTTATGGACCCGGCCGAAAAAAAGTAAAACGGGAAAAGAAGAAATACGGAAAATTTGTCGTATAAACTTTAACACTTACTTTTATTTAAATATTAAACAAAAGTACACGGCAAACTAGTGTGAGCCGAGGCGAGTGAACTATTTAAAATATTACGTGCTCATGGAGGACTGAATGATAGTAAAGGCGAACTCTGACTATTTAGACAACCGTTTGAGGGTAAAAAACACAATTAACGTTACCTTGTGGGAGACTGGGAGGTAGCAGAGGCAGACTCTCCTCCTCAGTCTACCGTTTGAGGGGTAGCAGTTAAGAGAGTCTCTAGGCCTTTTTATAAGGAGTAGGAAAAAAATTGTAAAAATACTTTACATTTTGCCATAAAAACGATGATTCTAAACAGGCAAGAAAATATCAGCTCTAGTTCCTCTTAGAATTACTGGTAACGTCCACCTCAAATCACCAGCAAAAATAAATGTAATGCCATCCATTAGTTCCTGGTTTGATCTTAAATCTTGCAACGTTCTATTAATTGCTTTAATGTGAGCTCTGTGACTCATCGTGCTCTTATCCCATACAATAAATGTTGTGTCTTAAAGAATTTTTCCAACTAGGCCATTTTTGCGTATCAGGTACGTGTAATCTTCTTCGGAAAAAACAAACAATGGGAATTTAAAAGTGAAGTGAGCTGTTCTATCTCCACTCAAAAGAGTGGCAGCAATGCCAGAAGATACGACAGCAAGGTACAGTTTTCCAGCCGATCTTGCTTGGGTCAACATAAAATTAATAAGGAATATTTTTTCAGTGCCTCCAAGAGCATCCAGAAAGAAGACCTCTCCACTACTGTTTAAGACACTATCAATTATACGATCAAAAGCTTGTCGTTAGTCTGGAACCAACTTTGAAAGATTTCGTTCAACATAATTATGTAAATAGTTATAATTATAACCACGTCTGAAAAAATGCTCAAAAGGATCATTAGTACAGAGTTCATCCCGAACCTGAGAATTAAGCCCAAATGCAGCCAAACTTTTTTCTGAAACAGAGATGATCTTGTCTTCAACTTTAATTAATCCTGTTCAACATTTCTTCATAAAATTCCATTTCAAAATCGTTAAGTTGAATTCGTCGAAAGTAAAAAGTATCTTCGCATAATTGTTGTTCAAACATATCCCACAAAATTTGAAGTTGCGATAGCTCACAAAAAAAAAACTAAAATAACTGCAAGTAAGTCACGTCATTTAAATGGATTTTCATTGAGTGTTTCTTCCGTTGATCATCATTTTCCAATAAACCAAGTGCGTAGCAGGTAGCTTCGAAAGTTTCGTAAGTAACACCATCAACGGTTTTCAAGTACTCAAATGAAGTTGGGCCTCAAACATATTGGAGTAACATTTGAAGATGGAAGCACTCCGATTGAGTGGAATAAATCGTTTAAACTCTACCTATGGCTAAATCTTTTTTTATTCTTGGCCAGCCTGAAATATCTTTTCCTTGTTTTATTTATACAAATTTATGATTGTCCCATCAGTAAGAGACGGCAACATTGGAATACAAAAGAGTACTAGCAAAATCATCTACTATGCAAAGTTCAAAAAACGCTATCAACGTTGTTTGTCTCGGATTTTCGAGAATCTGTTAAATGTTTTGCTGATTAATGTAAGCTCTTTGGTGATTTTTAAGGCGGACATCTAAATCTAAGACTGTAGGGTACCGTGCGTAAATCTCAAAATCAAAAAAACGCCAAAATCCTTCAGAGAAACAAATATAGCGTCCATTGGCATAGTTTGCAGTTTCACCAATATTTCCAACTAAAAAAGTAGCACAATTCAATCCTTTGTTGATTTATTTACAAATATATTTAATTGCTTGCACTGAAAA